GCCTGCCTATCTGCCTGTCTGTTTGTCTGTCTATCTGTCTTTTTGTCTGCCTTTTTTTCTGCCTGCCTCTCTGCCTGTCTGCTTGTTAGCCTGCCTGCCCGTCTGCCTTATCCGCCTGTCTGTCTGTTTTCTGCTTGCCAAATCCGCCTGTCTGCCTGCCAAACTGTCTGTTCATCTATCTGTCAATCTTTCTGTCTATCTATCCGTCTGTCTATCTGTCTACCTATAATCTATCAGTCTATCTGTTTGTCTATTTATCTGTCTATCTGTTTGTCTATTTATCTGTCTGTCTGTCTGTCTGTCTGTCTGTCTATCTATCTGTCTATCCGTCAGTCTATCTAGATGTCCATCTATTTGCCTATCTGTCTGTCTATCTGTCTATCGATCTATCTGTCAATATATCCATCTATCTATCTGTCTATTAATCTATCTGTCTATCAATCTATCTATCTATCTATTAATCTATCTGATTATCTATCTATATATCTATCTGTTTGTCTATCGGCCTGTGTTGATCTCCTCCGTCTCCCCCCAGGCCCATCGCTGTAGGAGCGGCCGGCGCCACCGGCGTGGCCTGTATCGTAATCGTCGTTGCCATGATGAAGGACCACGCGGGAGAGTACGCAGTCATTCCGGTGCTGCATTCTGATCCAGGTACATAAAGTGCTACATAAGTATATATTATTATGGCTTTTTTTTCGTCTATGCAGACGGTCAATTTAGCTTAAGATGGTCTCAATGTAGTCTTCATGCAGCTTCTTTCATGGCTAATTCATCCTATGTTTGAAGAGCAGATTCTGTCGCAGTGCTTGCATGTCAGTGTCGTAGATCGAGGCTCTGAGCTCTGAAGCTACTTAAAGGGCAGTGGAAATTTGCATAAGTTTGTGTTTTTGGGTTTTGTTGTTGTTGTTGTTTTGTTTATGTTTTGTTTTGTTTTTTGGGGGGATATTGTTTTGTTTTGTTGTGTGTTGTTGTTTTTGTTGTTTTTTGTTTGTTTGTTGTTTGTTTTGTTGTTG